CGACCCCCCTGCACCGCCGGCGCGAGCCCCTGCTCTCGGCTGGGTGCCACCGCACGGGCGACCCCAGCGAAGGGCGCTCTCCTTGCCAGCTGAAGCACCTGCACCTCCACTAGACGTGGCTTGGAAATGTCGTTGCTTTTTAATGGCCAAAAAATCTTGCTGTAGCCAAAACTACCTCCTATCGCTGCCCCGAGTGGGAAGCGTGGCCTTAAACGTAGCATGCATGACATGGATGGAGATGCAGAACTGCTTCTCCCTCGTCTTCTAACAAGCTGCAAGAGCCGTTGCGATGTCACTTACCCCGGTCTCGGAGGAGGACGTGCAGAGGACAGGTTGGCTGCGGTGATCCGCGAGCCCGGGCTGCCCTTTTATACACCTCTGAGGCCCTGTTTCATCAGCGACTGACACATCTGCCTGCGGCAAGTGGTGGCTTGAGTTAACTTTTCCCGTACCTGGAAATTACAAGGTGGGAAGTTATGAACCCCTCCCTGGCTGGGCCCGCTGCGCCTTGTTCCTGGTAGCACCCACCAGGATGCAGAAAGGCCCCGTTTGCACCCTGCCGCCGTCTCCCAGGGGTGCGGGCCCAGGCGCACCCCGTCGCCCGCAGCGTGGGGACAGCCGGAGCATGGGCTGGGGGAAATGCCGGACGTGCTTTCATAACCTCAAAATGAGTGCAGAGAGCAAGTCCGTTTGGACATGACTTGCTGAAGCCCTGCAGGTTTTGTAGCATTCTGAAAATGTTTATCCTCTCCGGTCTTGAAGAACGATGGACTGTGCCAGAACGAGAAGCGTGGATAGCTTCCTCCCCCAGTTGCTTTTAATGTGATCTGATCCCGGGCTCTGCATTTTCTGCAATACCAACTGCTTAAACACCACTGATGATGAAGGTTGCATCTACCTTTCAATAAATTACTTTTCCTAGATGATTTTCTAACACATCCCTTGTGCCAGACCTTTCCTTCTGCTCCAGAAACATTGCAGAAGAAATCGGGCTCAAAACAAGAAGAAAACATGTTGTTGGGGTCCTCAGGCTGGAAAATCACTGGGCGAGTGTTTTGCAACAGTCACTCAACGCCACTGCTCTTGCAGGGCATGAACAGGTACTGGAAGCAGAACAGGTACTGGAAGAATGATGAAGACTATATGAAGAAATAGAAAAATAACATCATAGATTATAGGAAGAGGGTAGGGACAAAAAAAACAAGATGGTCACCATTCCTGTTTGGGGATACTTCTA